TTCGTATCAACCTCGTAATCCTTATCAAAATTTGCCTTAAGAAGTTATTTTTTTGCTCTCGATATATTTTTTTCATAGTTAATCTGCATCTGCTCTCGTATATCGTTTAAGCTACCAATAAATAGGAATCCTTTATTGTTGTTTCCTTTCCTTTTTCCTTTTTTTAAGCTACCTTTTTTCTGTGTGCATTCATTTAGCTATCTGGTGTACGAAACCGATCCTGCTCACTTGTATTCAGTATTTTATGCATGTCAGGTGTCGTAGAATCATAATTTTCCTAGGCCTGCAATCCAAAAATATTACCTTTTACTTTCACTATTTTTATTTGCCTTTTGATATCCACTATTCATTAATAATTTATAGACAATACGATTTCTTTTCTTCTCGATTTTCAACAGGATATTCAAGATGATCTGCTCGTTGGCCTTAAGTCGACTGCTATCCGTTTTGGTAGTGACACCAAATCTTGGCTGGCTGGGTTTCATTTGGCAATGTCTGCCTCATTGATCGGAGTTGGCGTGATTTCGGAGGCCGGGGGTATTTATTATACTGGATTGGCTATCATTCTTCTTAAATTGGCTCGACTGGTATGCTTATTGTTTTCCATAGATCCTTGTGGTACATACTCGTCGGACTATTTGACTAAATGAGTGTTTAATTACTTATTTTTTAAATATTTTTTGCCAAGACATCAATTATTACTTATTTATATGGGCCTTTTGATTTTAAAAAAATCAGCATTTTTGAGCATATACAAATTGGAATTAACTCGTATAGTCTCTAATTAGTCCATTGCTGTACTACAAGACCACTAATTTTCCTCGTATTCTGCGCGTAAGGCATAAATAAAAAATATGCGCTACTTTACAGTTTTTCAATCAGGTATCGTATATACGAAAGATAATTATGGACTGGTATTAGGCTCAACAATCATGCGAAAATGCAATCAAATTGCAGTGCCTCCCTGACTTTCCTAAGCGCCTATGTTCAAGCCTGCTATTTTAAACAGTGCTTGTCACCAATTTTATTTTCATTTGACTATAACGCGCAGTCTACCTGAAATTCTGCTTCGCTGGAAAATTGCTTGAAACACTTTCCTTGCAGTTCTTCAGCTAGGAATGCCGTGCCATTTTAGGTATTTCGGTTTTTCATTAATTCTTCACTCAGGAGACTATTTGTGAGTAATTTGAACAGGTTTATAGAACTTGATTAAAAAATTTTACCCACTATTTATTGTAAATTGTACACTATTCTGAGCGGTATGGTAATTAGCGTATGGCTTT